CTGGCGATGCCCGAGTAATGAGCACGCGCGTCCTGCTTGACCAACAAATTGACAAACTTGGTGCTCTCAGTGAGACAGACCGTGCGTAACGCGTGAGACATCGAGGAAAGCCTTCGTAGGTTGGCAAGCACTTCAACCAACCACACGCCGATGAAACTGTTCGTCTGTGCAACCATGTCCGTGGGAGGGGCCAGGGCTCTGAGAGAGGCTTTCGAGGGGCCTCGGGGCCTCTTGGTAGGTATATGCGCGGTAGTATCCAGAAGGTCCGTCTTACACTCCAGGATGTCCAAAACTCCATCCCAGGCATCTCTCCATCACTGCAAACAGCGTAGCACCCAGACTCCCATCGACGACCAGGACCCCGAAAAAAAACGAGTCGACCATGTCCACGTCGAACGCCGTAGACAGAAACATGAGCCACCAATGGGAGCGGCCCATACTCTAAAGCAAGCTCCCAAGACTGCCCTGTTCCATCGGGCCCCAAGAAATCGAAAACGTCGGAGCCAATAGGTGCGGACATCCATGGCCTCAAGAGTACCCAAGGAGATCCAAGATTGCCTAGGTGTGCGTCCATTTCCCGTAGCGCGACATGGGAAAGCAAGCGGTAGGGCATGGTGCAGAAATTGAACGACCTCCTGGCAGTGGTCGTTAACGTGCACATCAAAAGAAGGCTTCGGCCCATGGCTCTCCACATATCTGGCAAACATGGTCCGTGCGGCAGGATCTTCAAACGCCGTAGGATCGCACGCAATCTTGGGGAAGAACGAAAGCACGTTGCTGGCCTTGGCTGTGAGGGGGAAGCGGATAACGGCGCTGACAGCCTTGTGGTCCACGATAGAAACCGTAAGGTCCAGAGAGCTCAAAACCGTAGCCGAATCCACCTGGCAGCCCCTGGAACAACATATGTAGCCAATACGTTTGCCTTTGGACACGTCCATAAGTTTGTTTTGTCCCGCTGGGGGAAACCAAGTTGCCCCAGAGTGCGTCGATGGCAAAACCGTAGCAGGAACCCAAAACTTCCTATCAAGCATCAGGTCGTGGAATAGTTGTCCAGGGAGATTATCTGGCTCCGCCTGGCATCCTCCGATGGCCTCTGAGGTACGGGACCCAACACGGCCATTGGCGTCGATCAACCACAACTCAGGGACGGCGGTGTCGAGTACTTGGCGTAGCCTGTCTTTAAGTTCCTGCCACCATTTACGGATGGCCTCTTGGCCCGCTCCGCTGCGCGGGCCATGCCCAATCACTGCATTGAGAGAAAAATGCTGACACCTTATCGCCACAACGAGCACCCTCGGCGTCGCATATAGTACTTTGCAATGCCGAGGCAGCAAGCGTACGGAGTCAAATATCGCAACTGAAGTGTTGATCCAGAATGAGCAACCAAATCGACGATATTGGTCCCCCGCGGAGTGGGTGACATGATATTCTTTGACCCTGGAAGTTCCAGACCGCGGGAATCTAGTCTCAACCGTGCCAGCGAAAAGTACCCGAGGGGTCGCCAGTTTGTGCCCAATGTAGGCCATCCGTCCAGGTAGGAAAAGACCCGTGGTTTTGGCAGATCGATGGGCCCTGGGACCCAGCGTGAGAACGTTGGCGGCGACTACCGTGTGGGCTCGAGTCAAACCAGAACCTCCTGGCCCCTCATTTTGCCCCTTGGCCCTGTCCCTTGGTCCTTGCTCAAGTGGGGGAGCCAAGTCCCTCAAAGAAAAAGTAGACGGCATGGATTCGTTCAGCATGATCCCTGGGGCAGGAGGAAATTGCCCTCGTACCTGGAGCGGGGCCGAGTCGATCCAAGCCCATGCCAGAGCCTCTAAATGCTGTTCGATATGTCTCCAGTCCGTAACAAGCTGCCGAAATTGAAACAGGCGCGCCGATGCTAGAGTACAAAGCGCGTCAGCAAACTCATTCCACGGTTGCGCTTGGTGTCCTGCAACGTGGAAAACACGGCAGCTCCTGGCCCTCATACGTATAATTTTCTGAAGGGCATCCAAGAGACGACGCTGGTTCCCAAGAGAGCCCATAGTGGCACCCCCATCGAGCACGTTAAGAACCTCCATGTTGCCCGCGTATAGGCAAATATCCCAAGAGTCCAGGGCCCCTAGCTGCAAAAGCCAGGCAAGGGCCCATTGGGCCGCCAGTAGTTCAGCCATAAATGAAAACCTATCTCGAGACAAGTCCGACTCCTCGAAAGTAGAGGCCGTATAACCAACAATGGCGACACGATCGTGAACGCTCTCTGCCATAACGACAAAGCCCCAGCTAGGTAGACCTTTCTTCGCATGAAAAGTGCGGCCAGGGACGAATATGTCACGATCTGGTCCAGAACGACACCCTCCTGATCCATCCAAGAAGATATGGATCTTGCACCAGCGATCTAAGTCGGTCATGGGATACAGTCCTGGAAGCGCCTGAACGGTAGAAGAATGCAGGTAAGGGGCAACATCCAACAGACTGCTGTCTAGAGGGGTGTTCCAAGCCTGGAAGAGACACTCCTGGACCACCTGGGTATCCGGGAGCAGACTGTATATGCATCCTTTGGTGGGGGCAGTACCATTCAGAGGAGTAGAAGGTGTGGCTCCCGAATAGAGCTCATCTTGATTGCCCTCCCTCGAGTCCTGCGAAGCGAAGTGCTTCAACTCTGCTGGGCCCCGTTCGGGTTGTGAAAAAGATGCTGCCTCGCTGCTGCCGCCGCCGCGGCATCGTCGGGCGGCACCTCGATGTCGACTCCGTCCATGCTCACGCGCGGCAGGGTCTGACTCTTCTCGGCTGGCTCGTCGGGATGCGCCTCGGTCGCTCCTCGCCTCGCAGCTCGATTGGGATTGGCCTGAACTGGCCATGGGAGCGGCATCTGCCCAGGCAGCAGCGGGTGCGACTTCATGTGCGCTGCTGCGGCCTTCACGCCCGTGGCCTCTCGCATGGCATTGAGCTCCTGCACAGTCATCTCCGGCAGGCCGTCGGCCCCCATCTCCTCGGTAGGTGCTGTAGGCGATGAGGTCGTTGCGGCGGCTGGGGGCAGACCAGAGGCACCCGCTGCCTGCGGCTGCTGGCGCGCCTGCTGAGAGCCTGCAGCGAGCGCCGTCTGAATCGATGCCAGAGTCTGAGCCAACTGCGATAACTGAGTCGCCATGGTGCTCTGGCCTGCCTGCAGCTGCGCAATCACCTGCGGCATTGCCTGCGGCGTCTGCTGCGGCACTTGCTGGGGAGCGTGTGGCATCTGAGCCGCCGATGCGCTCATGGCTGTCACGAACGGGCTGGGCGGCGTCACCATGGCCATCGGGCGCCCATGGTCGACCTCCATGAATGGGCTGGGCTGGGTGGGCTGCTGACGCCACGGCGGCCCAGTCGAGGCCTCTTGTGCTGCTGCTGCTGCTGCTGCCTCTTGAGCCTTGGCGTCTGCCTCGGCTTCCTCCTGCTCCTGCATAACCCTGAAGGCTGCATGAATAGCTTGTGCCTTGTCTAGGTCCTCCTGCAAGGCAGCTCTGGTTGCGGCTGCAGTTGCCAAGGCAGTCTTGGCAGCGTCCTCGGAGGCGACAGCGTCCTGCACCCTCTTCTTGGCGCGCTCGATGTAGCGGTCCTGGTTCTGTACCCGATCCTTGGGCGGGTACGCGTGAATGAACATGTAGAGAATGACGGCGTATTCGTCCGTCAGCTCGTTGAGGCGCGACTGGTTGGCCTTCAAAGCCTGCTGTGACTTGATCGGCATTCCAGGGCCTCTAGATTCTTCTTCAGCTGCAGTCGGTGGGCCGCGAGCTCCTTCTGGTCCGTCGGCGGCTCCAGCCATGCAGCATGGGATTGTGCCTCCTGCGGCATGGCAGGCGAAATGCCTAGCGAGAAGCCAGGCAGGCTCGAGACAGCTCCGTTTTGCGGTACTCCTCCGCGCCCGCCCGAACCCGACCCTCCCATCTGGGTAGGCTGGGAACTGGACTGGGGCTGCTCTGATTGCGACTGCTGGGACTTGCGCGGATGAGAGCGGTCGCGTGACTTCCCTCCTCGTGCCCGAGCCGACGGCTGCGGGGGGAAGCACCATGCACAGATGCTCACATTGGGCCAGTTGTGAGTGCCACACTGACCACACTGCCAGTTGCCCCGACGAGGAACCGGGCTGCGCCGAGCTGGAGTCGAGCTGACGCTGCCATGGACGTGACATTGAGCTGTGATGTGCACGAAGTAGTTGTCCTGCTGTAGCGATGCGCACGATGGTGCGGGCGTGGGTCCGCCGTAACCGCAGACGTCTGTACCAAGCGGGCTCTGGCCCGCGTCGGCTCGTGCTGGGCGAGGCGGCGATCGCGGCACGGGCGCGCGGCGGCAGCTATGGCGGGCAGCCGCGCGGCACGTGTGGGGTCGGCCTGGCAATGGGGGGGCCCGCGCTCCCTGGGAGCGCAACCCGCGGCCCCCTTGACCGGCCAACGCCTGCAAGACAGGAGGAGGCAAGAGGGAGACGGGACGGGAAGGAGGAAGGAGGAAGTGGAGACCACTATTCAAAACGAATACCCAACCAAGGAGGGTTCGGAAAAAACAAGAAGAGAAAGAGGAGGCCAAGGAGGACGACGAAGGAGGAGGCGGAGGTGAGGGGCAACGTTTGGATCGGTGATGGGCCCCCCGATCGCGAGACCGAACGCTCCTGGGCGGGTTGGACTGTCAGGCCCGCATCGGCAATCCATGGGCGATTGGGGGCCGATGCATGCCCCCCTAAGCCTATGCCCCCCCCAAGTGATCCTCTTCGTCTGGCTTTCGGGTCATAACTCGGGTCTCCAGCGGCCGTTCGGGACGATCAAGGCACCTCCGGACGCCTCTCGGCGAGGGGCAGCTGCTGGCGAGCACCCCACCGAGAACGAAAACATCGGAAAACCTCGAACCTCGAGCGTCGTTGCCCCTTGCCCCCCCTCGGGCGACGGTCCTGGGCGCTCGTGGGGAGCCTATCACCCCCCACGTTGCCCCGAAGGAGGGCAGAGCAGGAGCAAGGACTTCCCTGTGAAAGGCGCGGTGCTGCCCCAGGCCTTCGTGTAGAAGTAGTGGCACACCCTGCAGTTGCCTGCGGAGCAGCTGGCCGGACGACGCTCTGACGGAGAGCCCTCGAACCCCCCAGACTCCTACCCATCGCCCTCCCCACTCTCCCCCTGACCCCTACTCGTCCTCCTGCGCACTCCTCCTCTTCATACTCCTCCTGCTCTTGCTCATTATCAGCAGGCTGTTCCCTCCTCCTCCTCCTCCTCCTCCTCCTCCTCCTCCTCCTCCTCCTCCTCCTCATCATCATCATCATCATCATCATCATCATCATCATCATCATCATCATCATCATCATCATCATCATCATCATCATCATCATCATCATCATCATCATCATCATCCATCATCATCATCATCATATCATCATCATCATCATCATCATCATCATCATCATCATCATCATCATCATCATCATCATCATCATCATCATCATCATCATCATCATCATCATCATCATCATCATCATCATCATCATCATCATCATCATCATCATCATCATCATCATCATCATCATCATCATCATCATCATCATCATCATCATCATCATCATCATCATCATCATGATCATCATCATCATCATCATCATCATCATCATCATCATCATCATCGGCAGCAGCAGCATCATCACCATCATAATCATCATCCTCATCATCATCATCATCATCAGAATCATCGTCATCATCATCACCAGTATCATCAGCATCATCCTCAGCAGCAGCATTATCATCAGCATCAACATCATCATCATCAGCAGCAGCAGCGCAATATCAACATCAACATCATCATCGTCAGCAGCGTCGTCATCGCCAGCATCAGCACCATCATCATCAGCATCATCATCAGCATCATCATCATCATCATCACCCTCACCCTCACCCTCACCCTCACCCTCACCCTCACCCTCACCCTCACCCTCCCCACCAACATCATAATCAATATCGTCGTCGTCATCACCATCATCATCAATAGAAACATCATTATCCTGATGAGTATCCTCCTCATCATCCCAACCATAATGACAGGTGTCACGTTCCTGGTCCTGCCGATGCTGCTCTTCCTCCGCTCCCTGTGTATCCTCCATTCGTGTGCTTGCTTATCGACCTGATTTTCTTGCTATGAATGTTCCTCCTCCTTAGCATCTTCGATCCTTCCCACGTAATAGGATATACTCCTACTCTACCACCTAGCCGACCCGCAGCAACTTGCTTGTGGACTGGAGGGACGTCCAGGCGACGAGGCGATGAAGACCAGATGCATATCTTCACTAGTCAATTCATCGAGGGAGCCCACTCGAGTGCGCGAGCCGCGGCCCTTGAGCGCTGGCCTCGGCCTCATCGTGCCTGATGGAACGAGCGACGGCGTAAGCCTCCTCGTGCCAGGTGGGGCAGGGGCAGGGGTGGGGTCGGAGGAAAGTCGCTCCAGAGGGCCCCTGGAAGAGGGAAGCGTGAGCTTCCAGCAGGCGTCATTTCCTGCCCCCAACATCGGGACGACCCCCCTCTACGAGCCCGCGAGTGGAGACCCCTCGCGGGTCGGCCAATCGGGACCCACTCGAGTGCCAAAGACAGGGAGCAACTGGCTCGGGGGTGGTGAAACATCGAACTGGGATCGGCGATACATCCCCGATGGATCGGCGATGGGCCCCCCGATCGCGAGACCGAACGCCCCTGGGCGCGTTGGACGGCCAGGCCCCCGTCGGCGATCCATGGGCGATTGGGGGCCGACGCATGCCCCCCTGAGCCTGTGCCCCCCCCCCCAAGCGATCCTCTTCGTCTGGCTTTCGGGTCATGACTCGGGTCTGCGCCGGCCGCTCGGGACGATCCCCGGCACCAGGAGCGTAACTAGTCGTGGTTGTCACCGTGGCCTGCCGCCTGGGCGGTGCTCGGCGCCCTAGGCGGCCACGGGAGCATCGCCGGCGGGGCCTCAGAGCTCTACTCTGCGCGGGGCCATCCCTCGGGCGCTGGGCGGCCGTCTGGGGCGCCCCTGCCCGCCTCAGTGGCCTCTGGATGAATCGGCGAGGACTCAGGTGGCCCAGCGTGGCGCATCGCGACCCGCGCTGCGCTGCGCGCGATCATCTTCGCGCCCCCGCGCCCTCGCGCCGCCCCAGCGGAGAGGGGCGGCAGGTCTGGCTACCACGAGGTCCCCGAGAGCCGCGGCTCTCGATGGCAAGCCGAAGCCACTTCGGCCCGAGCGACTGCGGAGAGGCCAGCATGCTCGCTCCCTCTGCCCAGCCGTTCTCCCCGCACACTGGGCAGTACCAGGGAGACATAGGCCTCGGGTGCGGGGGACTCAGGTTGGCCTGACGGGGGCCATCATAAAAATGACGAGGCCCAATCTGAAATTTGACGCGGTCTCCCGCTGCAGACATCCCACGAAAACTGAACTGTCAAAATCCAGTACGCACTCGTCAAAAAGCAAAGGCGAACCCGAGTTCTGGCTTACTCGAGTCTTACGTTCCCCCAACAGTTCAACTCAGATCCCCGCAATCCTCCTCATCGTCGCAATCACCATTAGAAAAAATGTTCGTCGCCATTGCCGCCGTCATCATCATCATCATCATCATCATCATCATCATCATCATCATCATCATCATCATCATCATCATCATCATCATCATCATCATCATCATCATCATCATCATCATCATCATCATCATCATCATCATCATCATCATCATCATCATCATCATCATCAGCATCATCATCATCATCATCAGCATCACATCAGCTCAGCATCAGCATCATCAGCATCATCATCATCATCATCATCATCATCATCATCATCAGCATCATCATCACCATCAGCATCATCAGCATCATCACATCAGCAGCATCAACTCATCAGCATCATCATCATCATCAGCATCTCAGCATCATCATCATCATCATCATCATCATCATCATCAGCATCATCACCATCATCAGCATCATCATAATCATCATCATCATCATTACCATCATGATCAGCATCATCATCATCATCAGCAGCATCATCATCATCATCAGCAGCAGCATCATCATCAGCATCATCATCAGCATCAACATCATCATCATCATCAGCATCATCATCATCAGCATCATCATCAGCATCATCATCATCATCACCATCATCACCATCATCATCATCATCAGCATCATCATCGTCGTCAGCATCAGCATCATCATTACCATCACCATCTGCATCATCATCATCATCACCATCATCACCATCATCATCATCAGCATCATCATAATCGTACTAATCATCATCATCATCATCATCAGCAGCAGCAGCATCGTCATCATCATCACAATGATCATCATCATCAGCATCAGCATCATCATCAGCAGCAGTATCATCATCATCATCAGCATCATCATCATCACCATCATCACCATCATCATCAGCATCAGCATCAGCATCATCATCATCATCAGCAGCATCATCATCACCATCATCACCATCATCATCAGCATCATCATCATAATCATGTTCATCATCATCAGCATCATCATCATGATGATCATCATCAGCATCAGCATCATCATCAGCAGCAGCATCATCATCATCATCAGCATCATCATCATCAGAATCATCATCGTCAGCATCATCATTACCATCATCACCATCATCATCAGCATCAGCATCATCATCATCATCAGCATCAGCATCATCATCATCATCATCAGCATCATCATCACCATCATCACCATCACAATCATCAGCATCATCAGCATCATCATAATCAGAATCATCATCATCATCATCAGCATCATCAGCATCATCAGCATCATCATCACTGTCATCATGATCATCACCATCATCATCATCATCACCATCAGCATCAGCATCATCATCATCATCATCATCATCATCAGCAGCAGCATCATCATCATCATCATCATCATCATCATCATCATCATCATCATCATCATCATCATCATCATCATCATCATCATCATTAGCATCATCACCATCATCATCATCAGCATCATCATCATCAGCATCAGCATCAGCATCATCAGCATCGCCATCAGCATCATCATCATCAGCAACATCAGCAGCATCAGCATCATCATCAGCATCATCATCACCATCATCACCATCATCATCAGCATCATCATCATCAGATTCAGAACCATAATCATCATCATCATCAGCATCATCATCATGATCATCATCATCATCATTATCAGCAGCATCAGCATCATCACCATCAGCAGCAGCAGCATCAGAATCATCATCATCATCATCAGCATCATCATCATCAGCATCATCATGATCATCACCATCATCATCAGCATCATCATCATCAGCATCATCAGCATCATCATCATAATCATCATCATCACCATCAGCAGCATCATCATAATCATGATCATCATCATCAGCATCATCATCATCAGCATCATCATCAACAGCAGCATCGTCATCATCATCATCATCAGCATCAGCATCAGCATCATTATCAGCAGCATCATCAACACAATCATCATCAGCATCAGCCTCAGCATCATCATCATCAGCATCATCAGCATCATCACCATCACCAACATCACCATCATCATAATCAGCATCGTCATCATCATCATCATCATCATAATCATCATCATCACCATCAGCAGCATCATCAGCATCATCATCATCATGATCATCATCATCATCATCAGCACCAGCATCATCGTCATCAGCAGCATCATCATCAGCAGCATCATCATCAGCAGCATCATCATCATAATCATCATCATCAGCATCGCCATCAGCATCAGCATCATCATCAGCATCATCAGCATCATCATCATCACCACCATCACCATCATCATCATCAGCATCATCATCATAATCATTACTATTATCATCAGCATCATCGTGGTCATCATCATCATCAGCAGCATCATCATCAGCATCATCATCAATCATCAGCATCATCATCAACATCATCAACATCATCATCATCATCATGATCATCATCATCATCATCACCATCATCACAATCATCGTCATCAGCATCATCATCATCAGCATCATCATCATCAATATCATCACCAT